CTACTTGTAGTTTAGGTTTTGTGTAATATATGAAATTGAGTCAGCTGAAAATATGAATCTCATAGAAATGGTTAGGAAAATATTTTCTACTTTTCTAGACATAACCAATAATTTGATTGACCCTTATCAAACAAAGTAACCCTTAAACTATTAGTCGAAGAACAACCAATAGTTTACATTTGTTTTGCAAAACATTTTTCATATTAGAAAATAATGTTTTTTTGGATAAAGTTAAGCACTTTCCATTAAGAACAAGAGCCTAAATTTCTTTCAAAGGTCCTAATCTTCACACACACACAATTTAACACTTTCTATTAAGAAAAAGAGCCTAGATTTCATTCAAAGGTCCTGATCTTGACACACACATTTGAATTTGAGTAAACAGAAAATACAAACTTAAAGGATGTTGTTTCAACTAGCCTTGCCTAGGTGCTCTAGGTGTTATCTTTTTTGCAAAAAAATGCCAAAATTAATATGAGAATTAAAAAAAATAAAAGAATCGCCTACCTCCAGCCCTCTCACCCAGTTCTTAGGTGCTCTTTTTACAACCTTGTAGTCAAATATGAGTCCCAATTTCCAAATGCTATGTTTTTTTATTAAACCTTTTTTTTTTTATTATGCAGCTCGTGAAATTTTGACAAGAATATTTAATGCACTGAATATTGATGAATATAGCCAGGATGTTGTAAACACTGCTGAAAGGTTTTATGAAGTATGTTTCCTTCATCTAAGTTCTATGTTCGTGTTTGTTCATGTATTTATGAATGATAGAAATGTTTGTATGTATGAACTTATTAATGCATGTATGTATCCATGTGCATTCATGTATGTATACATGTATCAATGCATGCATGTTATGCATCTATGTATATTCTCTGTGTCTGTTTGTTTTTTTCATTTTCCCTAACATATGAATCTGAATTTTGAAGATTTTACTTGATCGGAATAAAACAAGGGGGCATAAATTGGAGCATGTACTGGCTTCTTGTCTTTACCTTGCATGTCGGTGAGGAATGCCTTCCTTTTTATGTTTGTGCTATGCCTTTCGTGTGCTTGTTGAATGTTCAACACTTTCTTCTCCCTTTTGGTTAGAAACAAGGATAC